CAAGCATTTCATGGGACATACTTACACTAAAAAACAATTTGCTGTTTTATCTGGAACTCAAAGTTAACTAGTACCCAGTACTTTTTTACTTATCATTTAACTTTTCATCCGGTATTTTATTTATTTGCTCACTCTGGCACTGGGGGCGATATAGAAAACTCTAGAAGAGCATGCTCACTGGCCAGCCACACTTCATGAGCCTGTGACAGGGTGGGGGCCGTCTGCGCCTCACCGTTTGTCAGCCTTGATGTGGTGCTGCTTCACCTCCTTCAGGTAGCGGCTCAGGTAGTGCTCCAGCGTGTTGAGGAACGTGCCATCTTTGTCCACCAACTGGGCAGCCCGGGGCTGGTTGGTGAGCCAGTCCATCACCGAGTCCAGCTGTTCCTGCTGGATCTGCTGCGAGGAACATGGCCATGGTCAAGGGACCCCTTCCTACCACTGCCCCAGGACCCTGCCCACCCAGCCCAGCGGTTACCATCTGCTCTGTGAAGACAGGCATGTCCGGGGGCGTCCCCTGCAAAGAGAGGAAGGACAGGCTCTCAGTCCCGACCCACCTGGTGCACTGGGATGGAGGGCTTGCAGCCACCGGTGGGGTCTCACCTTCTCAGTCAGGTTGTAGATGACTCGAGTCAGGGCCTCTGCGATGAGCCTTGTGTTGCGGGTCAGGGTTTTAGAGTCAACCCGGGACCTTCAGGGCGGATTTGGAAAAAAATCTATATACATTTGGAATCAGCATCATTTATAATCACCAAAAATCAAGAGCAACCATATATCTAATGATAATATAAATAAGAAAAGGCACAGCCTCCTTGGGCAGGGCGGGCACCTCTCCACACCTCAGATTCTGCTTTAAAATTTAGGGGGACCCTGCCCTCCTCGAAAGGCTGCCCAGCACCCATGGGGGTTATCTGCAGGTACAGAGAAGCTAGCCTGGCTCCCTGTGTCTGCCTGAAATGACTGGACCCTTCTGAGCCTCAGTTTCCTCATCTAGAACGTGGGTGGTCAGAACCTGCCTGCATGGGCTGTTGAAGGCAGTTAACACCAAGCAGTTAGGGTCAAATATCCCCCCCAAAGTCACACCCACCCGAACCTGGGAAGGTGACCTGATTTGGGGGTAGGATCTTTGTAGATGTGATTAGTTAGGATGAGGTTACACTAAAGTAGGGTGGCCCTACATCCAATGGCGGATGTCCTTCTAAGAGGAAAATTTGTGACAAAAGAGACACAGGTTGGGGTGATGCAGTCACAAGCCAAGGGACACCAGGGATCATGGGCAACAAAGACCCGAAAAGAGGAACGCTGGAGGCAAAACATCACTGATCCGAGTGGGTGTGAGATGCTGGGACCACCCTGGGAGGGGAGAGCAGCAGGGGGAGGTGGCTCACTCACTCTCCGGGCTCTGTTCCTCTTTTCCTCCAACTCTCCTTTGCTCTCAGCTTCCTCTGCCCTGGAACACCCTTGTCCTGACTCGTGTCCCTTGGTTTCAGTGCCACCTCCTCCAAGAAGCCCTCCAGCCCCAGGACCAGCCGATGCTCCCGCTGTGCCTATTCTCACTCTCTGGGTCTTGCCTGTCACCAGGCTGGGCTGAACCCCATCCAGGACCACCTTTTCATTCCCCCAGCTGATGCGTGTCCAGTAGCTAGGACGTTGCTCAGGGTTGGCCAATGAGAGGGCACAGGCAGACTGTCCCAGGCTCGGGGTTTGGCAGCCAATACCCCCAGCCCCACTGGGGGCTGCCATGCTAGCAGGGGGAACTAATGGGATGTGAGGTCCTAAAACAACGCAAGCCAGAGGTAGCAGCGCCACAGAGAAAAGAGTGAGAAAGTAGTTGGTGGGAGGGCTCCCAAGGAAGCATG